GGGCGCTCCACCACCGCCACCACCGCCCACCAGCAGAGGGCGCTCCACCACCACCACCACCACCGCCCACAGCAGGGGGCGCTCCACCACCACCACCCCATCACACCACTGGGGCGCTCACCACCACCCACAGGGGGCGCTCCACCACCACCGCCCACCCACAGGGGGCGCTCCACCACCACCACCACCATCACCACCCACTGGGGGCGCTCCACCACCACCACCACCGCCCACAGAGGGCGCTCCACCACCACCACCACCACCACCGCCCACTGGGGGCGCTCAGGATCACTTTAAAGGGTCTTATAATAATAATAATAATAATAATATTAATAACTAATAACAGTCCCGACATTCGACACAGCGCCTCATCGCGTCTTCGAGACGTCTCAAAGCGCTTCACAGAATACACTGCAAAGTGAATTGACTGTATTTTGTGGGCGAAACGCGGCAGCGAATTGCAAACGGCGGCAAATCATCATCGTCGTCGTCGTCTATACTAATAAAGACGAAATGTCCGTCTGTCTGTCCACCAAGAACCTTCTCTACAGTACAGACGTGATTTATCCCTCATCGGAAAGGTCTTGCAAGTGGGAGTGTCACGGGCATATTTTTTGTTCCGGGGACCTCCTCTCGTTGATGAGCTACGTTCAAAAAATATAGTCAAAAATTCTTTAATTAAGTCCCCAATAAAGGTACGTATGGTATCCTGCAACAAAATAGTGACAGAGCACACACAGCCTTCCAGAGAGATGCATCTATACTGATAAAAACAAAATGTCTGTCTGTGTGTCAGAAGTCCTCCCACAGGAGTCCTCCCACAGGAGTCCTCCCAAAAGGATATGTATCCAGATATGGACGCTAATGAGTTCAATAGCACATTTTCTCAAGCCTTTCAAGGACCATTGACTATAAGTCTCAATAGTATAAAGGTCAAAAATATTAATTTGAGATATTATTTAACACATTAATTGCAGAATCCTACATTTGGTTGCAAGCGAAGCTGCAACGGGTGCAGCTTGTGATAAACAATAAAATATAACAATAACAAATAATCCTCACACGTGATAAAGTGTGCATGACTTGTCACCTCGCCGAGCCGTCTCAAAGCACTTCACACAATATACGGTGGATTGCCATGGCCATCTATGTATGTCAGGACAGCAGTGGTCCTGGAGTTGAGGGTGGGGGCAGAAAGATAAAGTTGGGTGTCATCCGCATACATGTGGAAGTTGACCCCATGTCTGCGGATGATGTCACCGAGGGGGAAGATTAAAGAGGAAGGGGCCAAGGACAGAGCCCTGGGGGACGCCAGACGTGACAGTGCGGGGGCTGGAGGAGAAACCGTGAGCGGCAACAAAGTGGAGAAATAAATGCAAGTTGTCGTCGTTTAAGATATCCAAAGGTTCCAGTCTTAGCTCAAGTTGATATTGTAAAACATTATTCAACAGGTGCTCGGGTCTCTGATAGCACTGATCATACTATTTGCTGAGTGATTCTCTCCCCTGCCACTATTGCCTGGAGCCACATCCTACCAGGTTTCCGGTTCTCCAGACCTCTCTGGTGCACGGGGAAAAGCTACAGCTTACACAAGAAGGAGAGACCTTCGTCTTCATTCCGAAAGGTAATGCAATAGATTTATCTTGTGATCTTACGAACAGTATTTGAGCAACATCGGGTATAGATGAGCGCGAGACACCACAGAGAACTTCTTAGCAAATAATATTATCAGTCCTGTAACAGACGCGGTCACCTGTATAATCATATTTTACAGTATTATCGTTATCTAACACTGGAATCTTCAGAAAGCACTATATCGAATGCAAGGGTTATTATTCACATTGTTTTTATTATTATTTATGTCGCGGCATATGTTGAAACAGTGTATGTTTTAAAGTAAGACGGCGTGTCGTCAAAAAGGTTCAATCATTTTGAACGCTTTACAGGGACTTTTTTCTAAAACAATGGGGCTCTGTTTATTCCGAGATGAAAGAACCATCAAAAAAATCAATTGCATTCCTGAAGCGTTTGGCTCTCCTATTCTTACATTCCAATCCCAACCAAATCTATTTCCCCCCAATGCTCGGGTCCTGACCCAACTGTCCAGCGCCTTGGGACGTCCTCCCGACGTGAAAGGCGCTCTCTAAATGGAATCTTGTTGTTGTTGTTGTTGTATTTTTCTTCGCCTCCACCACATTGCCCGCCTCTGCCCCTATCTCGCGACAAATGAGACCAAATACAATCGTCCCTGAGCCATCCACAAGATCAAACTAATCCGAAAATCCATTGCCAGAATCCTCACCCCCACCAAACTCCGCACCCCATTGCTCGCGAGGCTCCTCCGGCTCCCTGCCTCCCAATGGATGAAACTTCAAGGGTCTCACACTCACCTAAATCCCTTCACACCCGAGTAGCGCCCTCGATTATTCAACCCCATTTCTCCGCTTAACCCCTCCGCTTGGCAAACCTCGGCTTGCTGCACCCCTTTGTGCACCTCCATATGTTGCGAAAACCTTCAATCAATGTGTCCCTGACCACTGAAACTAAATTAAGCAATAAAATTGTGCAATAATATGGTGGATACATTGAAGGAAACGATTGCAAAACAGTTGCTTCAAATGTAACGTGAGATGTGGAAAGACTGAGTAGAACGATTGACTTCAATTACAATTGTAATTAATAAATGGAGTGACTGTGCAAAACTAGGATCTTTGTGAGAAGGAACTTTGCTCACAAAATACAACCCACTTTACAATATATCCTGCAAAATGCTTTGAGACATCTCAGTAAAGTGAGAAGGTGCTACATCAAAGGAGTATTATTATTCTAAGTATCCAGACAGGCTTATTTACGTTGGTGCACAACATAAAAATTCATATAAAGTACATCTGGATGACTAAACCATTGTGTATTCTGCCTTCTTCCATGATCCAGGTTAATTAGAGTTGGTGAGAACATCTTGAATCATGAAATCATGAAAATTACAGCGTAAGAGGAGACCATTTGACCCATCGAGTTGGTACTAACTTGTTGCTCTTTCAGCAGAACTAACTGTAAAAGTTTTCTCCTGAACACACTCAGTCCGCTGAACACAATCTTACGTTTCTTTAATTGTTTGGATGTATCCTGTTTTGTTTTAAATTTTGACTGAAGTGATAGTTAACGTGTTGACAAGTTGCTTTACATTGTGAATTCAAAATGAGCATTTTCTATTATTTGTAATGAATCTAATTTGTAATTTTGTTTGCAATACAGTGTGTCCGCTATGCATCATCTTCTAACAGTGTTCGCCCTCGCCTGTGGGCTGAGCATTGCCGGCTCAGTACGAATATGTGCCTTTAATATTAGATCCTTCGGAGACAGCAAAATATCGAATGAAACCATTTCTACCGTCATTGTTGATGTAAGTCTCAATTACTAATTAAAATATTTCATTGTGAACATTTGGATCGCATTAGCCGATATTACTGAAATTTTGCTAATTCTTGTGGGCAGAAATATCGCTTGAGCATAGAATCACTCTTAAAAGAACATCTTAAAAGAACTTATAGAAAACCAGCTCCAAAGTTAAGAGTTAATTCAACGATTTGCCAATTCTGGATCATTGAAAATGCTACGTAAATATAGTGAAATCTAGACCCAGGTGGAGTTTTTCCCAGTTGAGTCTATTTAATTACAGTTAATGATTTATAATTTGATATGAACCAATTCTAGCGTTTTCCATGTTTGGGTTTCTGGTTGTCACTTCCCATTCCTGACGCTCTTTCTTATATGGCTTTTTAGGGCTAATATTAGAGGCATCTTAACCCCCAATATTTCATGCTTCGAACAAAATGCTCACTCCAGTCAATCGTTGTCTGTGAGCAAACATAGAATTATATACAGTAGAACATTACAGCACAGAAACAGGCCATACAGCCCAAATATTCCACACAAGTCTCTACCCCTTTCTAATCCCTCTCCCATATCCCTTTATCCCCTTCTCCTTCATGTAGGCATTACATATAATCTTAAATTGTTACCTCAAACATCATAAAATGGATGAATAATTATTAAAGACTCCTCTGATATGTTTCAAATTCAAATTACTGTATGAGTATATTTTTTTCTTTGTAGATCATCAAACGCTATGATATTGCTCTCATACAAGAAGTCCGTGATGAAAACCTGAGTGCTGTGAAATTGCTAATGGATAAACTCAATAGGTAAAGCTTAGATATTAAAGCGCAAACATGTTGTTAGATTATGCTACTGATAAACACAGATAAACATTTCTGCTGTTGAGGAACCTGGATTACGCTCATCACGTACAACCTTTGGGAGTGAGGATTAGTTTGGGAGGGAGCAAAATTCACCAATGCTATATGATATATGAGGGAGAAGGGATTAAGAGGGGAATAGGGGGGATGATGGCTCATGTGGAGTATAAGCGATAGAGTATATGTCTTACATAGAATTGCCCACATACACAGTATGTAACTTTTCTGACTTGTGTATTTCTTCAGAATTTAGCATCAAAGGTATTAAGTAGCACAATTATGATCTAATTAGAATTTGCTGTGGTTAGTAAATTCCTATAGAATCTCAGCAGTGTAATTTGACTTGAATAGTACTGTATATATGTATATATATATGATGCATGAGCATTTTTTGAATTCTTGTTAAATTTTTGTCATTTCTCCAGCGCCACTCCAAATACCTACTTGTATGAGGTCAGTGACCCACTGGGACGCAGCACCTACAAAGAAAGATACCTTTTTATTTACAGGTGAATGTTTTATAATAATAATAATATAATCCTTGCATTTGATACAGCGCCTTATCCCTCCGACTTGTTCTCTCCCTTCACATCGTTCAAGCTTGAGGTCCGTCTCAATATACTGTGAAGTGAATTGACTGCATATTTTGTGGGCGAAACGTGGCAGCCAATAGCGCACGGCAGTGTCCCACAAACAGTTGTGGAAATGAGTGACCAAATTATTATTAGTATTATTTATTCATTTATTTATGAATAATGTTTTGCAACCAGGTTTGACCAGAATTTTACAGCTTAGACTAGAGCATTCAATTCTCGCTGGCGTTTGAGACATTTCTTCCTTTGCTTTTGTCATAATCATGACATCTTCTCTCACTTGAACAGAAAAGCGGTGGTGTCCGTAACCAGCTCTTATCATTATGACGATGGATCCGAGGAGATGGGAACTGACATTTTCAGTCGCGAGCCATTTGTTGTGGAATTTTCTTCGCCCCATTCAGGTACTATAATTCCGTAGGTCACGTATAAGATTTACAAATATTTACTTAGGTTCATGTTCCCCGCTCTACCAATTCCATCATTGGCGGGTGGTCTTTCAGCCTATCTGTCCCCACTCTCTGCAACTCTGTTCCAGAATCTCTCCAACCTGTTCTCTCTCTTCACATCGTTCAAGCTTAAGGTCCGTCTCAATACCTACCTCTTTGATACAGCCAATTTGTTCACAGCAATGTCCCACCAACAGCAATGAAGTGAATGACCATTTTTTTTTATTTGGGGTATTGTTGGCCAAGACACAAAGTCTTCTTTTTGAATAGTGCCATTGGATCTTTAATGTCCACCTTAATTTAATATCTCATCGGAAAGACAACACCTCCAGCATAACTTTAGAGAGTCAGCCTAAATTCAGAATTAAAGCTCATTAACAGGTAACCAAAAAATTCAATTTGTTCATTGCCGCTCCCCTCGTTTTGAAATCGACGGATAGTTACTTTGTTCATGGAGATCAACCAGATGATCAGACTTGTGAGTTGCTTGCATGTATTTTTTGCTTGAAAACTAAAAGATTTCATTTTTTCTCTTTTAGCTGTTCAAGACTTTGCTATTATCCCACAGCACACTTCACCAACAGAAGCGGTGAAGGAAATAGATGCACTTTATGATGTCGTTCTTGATGTTAAGAAAAGATTGGGAATTGAAGTAAGACGCTGAACCATGTTAATCATTCAAAATCTAAGACACTTAGACAAATTCATGAATTTAAGTAATTGTCTTCATCTCTGACCAACAGGACATGCTGATCATTGGAGACCTTAATGCGGGTTGCTCTTATGTGAAACAATCTGATTGGGCTCAGATTCGCCTACGCGGTGACGGCCAATTCCAGTGGCTCATTCCAGACTCCGCAGACACCACCGTTGGCCATACAGAATGTGCTTATGATAGGTGATGGATCATTCTGTAAATGGGTTTTGTTACAAGATCAGATAGGGCAATACTAGTACATTGCTCCAGATATCCTCTCCAATGTAAACACCGAGGGTGGCTTTATTAACCGTCATCGTGTACGTCTTCATCAGAACCACGTGGATGGAAAATAAATGTGGAACAAGTTCAGTGAGATCTCCAGTGGAAGAGAACTTCAAACATTTTAATCACAAGATGTTCAGATGAAGAAGGCACTTTGGTCCATTTAAGTCTTGTAGAATACCCTCCCCAACATCTTCTCATTAAAACATCAAGCTATTTCTTAGTCTAATGTCCTGACCTCAACCACCCTTCCTGGTTATTTTGTTCCAGCTGTTAATTATCCTCTATGGAATTCCACTCTATACTTATGGAAAATGTTATTTATTGCAGGTTTGTTTGTAATATATTTGACTATTTATCTGATACAAAACATTAGGGAGCCAAATACAATTATGCCATATTTGCTTTTAGTCCTTCAAACCAACATATGAACAAGATCCAGTCAAAAACATAGCTCAAAGTTTTATTTGAACCCGTGACTAAAATACACCAGTCTTATTTAGTGAATATAATGAGATTAATTCCCTTCAAATAATCAATATTATTTCACCTTCAGAATCATAGCCAGTGGCTCAGCAATGAAGAGTGCTGTAATTGTTGAAACTGCGGTTATTTACAACTTCCAAGAAGCTTTTAATCTCAGTGATGAAATGGTAAGTTTAGATTTTAATGACTAGCCCGTGACTTTCTTGTGTGGGAATGACACATCGCGCCTCTGGCAGATCAGTAACAAGTCAATCCTCTGTGGAATTGTAATAATATTCTTTGCATTTGACATAGCTCCTTATCATGTCATCGAGATATCTCAAAGCCCTTCACACAATATTTTGTAAAGTGAATTGACTGTATTTTGTGGGCGAATTGTACCATGTCTAGAGGAAAGTTTATTTGTTGGTTTACAAGTCTTCCTCTGGTTTTGTAGCTTCTTGAATATATAATCAATACAAATGCTTTTGATTGGAAATTTTTGGTTAGCGGAAGTGGCCAAATGATTTTCCTTTTGCTGTGGAAGTAATTCCATTCGGATAGCACATTCGAAATGAAAACCCATTTTACCAGCATCGTCCAGATTACCAAAGCCATCAGAATTAATTTAAATACGTTGGGTATGTGCTTGTGCCTGAGAACATCCTTTCTGTGAACTAGATCTTCATTATCTACTGCCTTGTAATGAGAAAGTGAGTTAGATTGCCATTCAGCTTTGATCTTGGTTCCTTTCAATGTCTGTCACTCAATAAATTTCACCGGTTCCTGTAGAACGGTCAACCCCCAACCACCCCCCGGCTTGGCAATGTGCCAAGGGCTCTGGGACCCTTCCCTGTGTGAGGGGTGCTGTGTAAATGCAAGTTGTTGTTGTTATGTGCATGTTGTTGTGATCAGGGAGCCTCAGCCCTTTCTCGAAGCGCACGTGGAGCCAAAACAAAACGGCACTGACCAAAGCCAAGCAGAAATCTGTAGATGTGCCTAAACTCTCCTTCCGAATGAACGCCAGCCCATCTGGATATAAACAAATTCTCCTCTCCACCAACTGCTGTTCTCTTTATTTGCAGGCTCAGGCAGTGAGTGACCATTATCCAGTGGAAGTGAGTCTTCGCGCTGCATAAAGAAGTCAATGAAACTGCACAAGTAGATCCTTCACGACCAGGAAACATGCCTTATAACAGACATAAAGCTTCATATCTGACTAGTCAAAATACCGTAGAGATTAAGCTCCAAGAAGGGCAGTGTATACCACATCTTCTCATTTCACAACTTTAGTGTTCAATAATAATAATAATCTTAATATAATTTTAATTAGTAGGTAATGCCAAAATGTAGTGTATAAAATTAAGAAAATTTTGCAAAAACAGTGGATTCTGGAAAATCACTCTCATTAACTGTACTTTCCTCCTAGAGATAATAAAAGCATTGGATTTGTTGTTTAATAAACAAAACACATGATTAAAACCCCTGAAGGCAATCCAGCAGTTCATTTTCACAAACCAAAAGGTATCATTTTGCATAAAATTAAACACAGTGCAGAATCAGAATGCAGTGTTGAAATCTAAATTCAGTCCCAGTAATCTGTAGGAAATTTCATTTTTTCTTGAAGAATGCGAATTATTAAAAAAAAGAGCACCAAGAAAAGTCTTCCACAAAACAGAAACTAGTAACAATGATTTGTCATGCAATACAAAATTACATTTGTATAGTGCCTTTCATACACATTCAAACTGATGATCGATTGCTGCTACATCTGAAACAAAACTTGTGGGATAAAGATTTGACTGAAGCAGGTTTTGGCACACATGTGTTTCATCATTCCTCTAAAAGAACTTCGCCAAAGACAAGATTTGTTGTTTGACTTAATTGCTCAGCTAGCTACAGCTAATTGACAGCTAAATTAGGTACTTTAAGGTTTTACATCACATAAACAGTTGAATTCACATTGCATAGGTTTTCCAAAACAATTTGGAGAAAAAAAAAGGAAAATTCGTAAACGGATAGGATTAGAGTGATTCTTTTTGTTTAAAAAATCTGTTGTGCTATTGAAACAAGATAAGAATCAGGTAGGAATCCTAGACATTATAATGCATCAGAATGCGTACATACTAAAGACCCATTTTAAGTTCACAAATGATTCAGCCTTTTTTTTGTTTCAACATCTCCATATACATCTGGAGAGACTTTTGAATCGAGTCCTTGGTGATGAACTTAACAAAATTCTGTACATCCGCTTCCCTTTGTCTCAGCAGTTGATCAATTATAGGCTTCCTCATCATGGATTTAGTAATTTGCCGAGCGTGATCTGTAAAGAAGAACAATTTACATTTATGTAAAGCCTTTCAAATAGGGTAGGTACCGCTTCACACCACTGACTGGGAGCCCGAGCTGGAGGGAAACTGGAGGAAATTAAGCCAAAGGCGCAGACGAAGAACTGGGTCTTTAGGTAAATTTTAACGGTGGGAAGGAAGCAAAGCGATAAAGATAACACTGAGCCTAATTCATAAATCTTCACAGTATAATGAGGAACATATACTAACTGGGAAAAACATCCCACCCCAGAAGAAGTAGAAATCATTCTTCGTGTAATTTGGTTGCAGATTCATGGCTGAAACGGTGCAGCAATATTTTTAAGTTCGGGATAGAGTTACCTGGAATAGCCAACCACTGAGACATGACACTTGAAGCAGTTGTCATCAGTTTATCTTCTGTTTCCAGCTGGTCAACAAGCCCAACTTTCAGAGCCTCTGGAGGATTGTACTGGAGACCAAGTTGGAGAGAATGCTCTGTGGCCCGGTTTCCGATGCAATTTATCATGGTGTCTTTGAACCTGTAAAAGGATCAGCTTTTTTTTTAAAATAAAGGCAACTTAGTGAAACAAAAGTTACAATGGGTTCCAACTTGATATTTTAAAAAAAATAAAATGGTTGACTGTGATTTCTTAAATGTGATTTACCAGAATGGTGCCACAATTCCCAGCTTGGTCTCGTTCAGACCGATACTGTACTTCGGATAATCCGTCATAATTCTGTAGTCACAGGATATAGCCATGAGACAGCCACCGGCAGGGCTGGATCCCTGAAATATAAAAGTGAAATGATTGACTTAAATACCAAAGCAGATTCCTACGTGTCAGCAAGGCAACAATTTACTCTTTAAACTTAAAGACTCTCCTTTAAGTTAGCTCTATTGTGCTACTGTGGTATTATTTAATAATAATAAAAATAATAATCCTTTCATTTGATTATAGCGGCTAATCACGTCGTTGAGAAGTATCAAAGTGCTTCACAGAATATATTGTAAAGCAGACTGATTGTGTATTTTGTGGGTGAAACGTGGCAGCCAATTACGCACAGCAGTGTCCCACAGACAGTCGTGGATTGAGTAACCAATTGTTCTGTAACAACATATACAAATGCTTTGTATTGCTAGACAGAGATTAATGTGCCACTTACATTGATTGCAGCTATTGTTATCATACTGGATCCGTACAGTTTCAACCACATTTCCTGCACTGCTCTCCAGAATGCTCCGCAGTGTTCTGGGGTCTTCCCATACATCTCCGTTATGTCCAGGCCAGCAGAAAAAATTCTGGGAACGGACTAAACAATAGCAATATGATTAATTTCTTCCTCACACAAAACCCAAATACACTGGAATTTAGAGTTACTACTCACCGAAGTTAGAATTACACCTCGGCATCCTCGATCCATTTCCAGCTTCTCCATGTTAATTGCAAACTCTGTGAGGAACTCCAGACTTAGACTGTTAACTGGAGGGCTGTTCATCTTGATTACAGCAACTCCTAATACAAACAGTGTTCATTAATGTATTGAAACACTTGGGCCTTGTACATTGCAGAATTCGCAGTGGAGTGAATTCTGCGACACTGCCACGAGTAGAGGATAAAGAAATTGAATGAAATGAAATGAAACTGATAACGTGTTCCATTTATACTCGGTATTTTTTCAGTATGGAATTAAAACAAAGGCTTGGGAATTTGCGATGCACTGAAATAAACACCAGCTTTACTAAACATCATTTAGTAAATCAGACATGATCTTGGTTCATCTGGTAGATTAATTGCCAAAAACATACAGTAGAGCATCATGTAGAGCTTAATTTTCATCAAATAATTTCTGGTACAAATGAAACTTTAGCTCCAGTTAATGGGCGATATATGTCCAATATTACGCTGACCAGATTGCCACCACCATACTGGGCTTCGAAAAGCTTTTAAAACCCTGGGCTCTGCTCTTGCACATTTTAACGTGGTCAGAAGAGTTTGATTTCATTATTCCTGTCCATTGCACTGTTGAGTTACTCCATGTATATTCTGCATTTTAAAGCAATATATTAAATATGAAACCCTGTAACTTTTTAAACACATCTTATTTCTAATACCAACAGGTTCCATAAAAAGACCCAATCACTTTTGAAATTACCCGTGCTGTTGTCCATCTCTACATTTGTGAACATCCTTCTCTGGTCTGACACTCTCCATGGCAACTGGCACAAAACTCTTCCAGTCTTGTAAGGCAAATTATTCGTAGAAGAAAATGATATCTGCCCTGAAACACAGAAATCCACCTACAGCTTATTAAAAATAAAAAGGGAAGCCGCTGGGAACACTCAGCAGGTCAGGTAGCATCCATGGAGAGTTCCGATGAAAGATTCCAACGCAAGGTCATCGAGTGTTAACTCACTTTCCTCTCTCCATAGATGCTGCCTGACCTGCTGAGTGTTCCCAGAGACTTCTGTTTCTATTTCAGATTTCCAGCATCTGCAGTACTTTGCCTTTTGTTTACAGCTTATTACAGATTATCTCAGTACGTGAGCAAACGTTCAGCGCCACCCGGCCATGGACTTTGTCCCGTTCAAACAAATAAAACTCTCTCTCAGACCTGTCAGCTAGATACTGAGGCACCTGAGATGATAGTCAGTCAGTTCTGTGTAGCATGATGTAAGAAAGGAGAATGAATTTAAATATTTAGCAACAAGAAATCTTCAACTGCTTTTTCCTCTGTCTATTTGTGGCACGTTGCTGTACGCAAATTGGTTGCCACATTTCAAGCTACTAGGAAGGCTAATAGCATGTTAGCGTTTATTGCAAAAAGGATAAGAGTTCAAGCGTAGGGAAGTCTTGCTGCAATTGTATAGGGCCTGGGTGAGACCGCACCTGGAATATTGCGTGCAGTTTTGGTCTCCTTTTTAAGAAAGGACATACTCATCTTCGAGGGGGTGCAGCGTAGATTCACTGGGTTGGCTCCTGGGATGAGGAGGTTGACCTACGAGGAGAGGTTGAGTAGACCAGGCCTATATTCTCTAGAATATAGAAGAATTAGAGGTGATCTTATAGAAACCTACAAGATTCTTAAGGGTCTTGACAGGGTAGATAGTGTGAGACCGTTTCCTCTGGTTGGAGAATCTAAAACTAGGATCATAGTCTCAGGATCAAAGGTCAACCCTTTAGAACTGAGTTGAGAAAAACCATTTCTTCACTCAGAGGGTAGTGAATTTGTGAAATTCTCTGCCCCAGAGGCTGCGGACGCTCAGTTATTGAACATATTCAAGACTGAGATGGATAAGATTTTTAAAAACTAAAGGGATTAAGGGATATGGGGCGGGTAAATGGAATTGGGTTAGAAGATCAGCCGTGATCTTATTAAATGGCGCGGCACAGGCTGGAGGGGCCGAGTGGCCGACTCCTGCCCCTATTTCTATTTGCGCTTTG